AAATGAGAAAGAAAGTTTTCCTACTCAATTGTTAGCAAGCTTATCTTCTTAGTTTCTTAGCTTCTTAATTATACCTAAAAGCATTACATATGATAGAGAAAATTATCCTACTCAAATGTTAGTCTTATTATCTTATACTTGAAAGAATTACATATGAGGGAGAAAGTTATCCTGCTAAATTGTTTGCAAGCTTATATTTTAATACCTAAAAGCATTAAATATGAGAGAAAAATTTTCCAGTCAATTCCCACGCTCAACTATTAGTAATCTTATCTTTTAATGCACAAAATCACTACATATGAGAGAGAAATTTCTTTTGCTCAATTATTAACAAGTTTGTCTTCTATCTTCTATAATAACACCTAAAAGCACTACATATGAGAGAGAAAAATCCCCCGTTCAATTCCTATGCTCAATTGATAGTAATCTTATTTATCTTATAATGCCTAAAAGCACTACAAATGAGAGAGAAAAATTCTTTCGCTCAATTATAGCAATGTTATCTTATTTAGATCATATATTAGGAATTATTTTTTATTCAGTATGGAAAAATTCGTTTTGAGGTTGGAAAATAAGAAGATTGTTTAATTTTATTTTAAATTTGTTTTTTAAAGTTTACATAGGTAATATTGGTGTCATATTAAAGATCGTAAAATATTATAAATTTTGATATATATTTTTTTGTAAAATTGAGATCAATGATGAAAAAGTTAAAGCACTTTTAAAAAATGGGGTTTCCATAACATGGGACCCACCAAGGTATCTCTCCTTGGTTAGCTTGCTTTGATGTTCCGTATATGTCCTTAGAATGGAGTATAAGCTGACACATGATGCAATAGAAACGGAGTAGAATAAGGGGAGATTGTCATGTCCAAAGGATGACACCCCATCCCTGAGGCCCTATGCATTTTTCAACATAGTAATCTCTCATCGCAGTTGTCGGGATTCGAACCCGAGATCTAACCCTTGTGGCACTCCCTCGCTACCAGTTGAGCTACGCACACCGGTGGGAGATTGTCATGTGTGAATTTATTTAGAGTGGTATTTTGATGATATATCTTCTTTCTTGTATATAAATAGATTTTGATTCTTTTATATAGTCGTGTGCAGTTCATTGATGCATGAAATGAAGATTGTGTACTTGTCAAAAAAAGATTGCGTACTTGTCAAAAAAAAGATTGTGTACAATTTTAATTGGGGTTAAAGCCTATCTTCTAATAACTAAAAGCTTGTCTTCCGTCCAGTTGGTAATCTACTGCTTCTTTCATGGTTCATTAGTTTTCTGAATAAATAAATTCTGTAAGAATCATAGCATTTCGTCATTTAATGGTAAATCAACTTTGATTCTCTCTCGCCCAAAACGGAAAAACTATGATACTATGAACATGTTTTAAAAAATCATTTGAAGTCAAGGCACTATATGGTACTATTTCAATCACTTTTTTTTTGTTTTTCTGGTACTCTTTCTATCACTTTTTTTGTTTTGTTTTTCTGATACTCTTTCTATCACTATCTTCATTATAGAGATCTTTTAGAGAATAATATTTGATCAATAGAGGATGCTCATAAGTCATAAGTCTATCTTGTTTGTATGCACGGAATTGGAAGTCCACAATAGTAACCAAATTCAAGTATATTTATATTTTTGAGTCACTTACATATTATATAGATATTATTGAGGATTCATTTGAAACTCTTTCGTAAGTCTATCACATTTTTTTTACTTTTAAGGGTGTTTTGATTCACTTGTAATAATGATGATGATGATGACGATGATGATGACGACAACGACGACAACGACGATAGCAATAACAATTAAAAATTATCTAATAATAATACTCCCTAATACTCCCTCCGTATTTAAATGATCTCTACACTATGTGTTGGCACAAGATTTAAAAAGTAAGGGTAATAATGAATAGTGTAGAAAAAGTTTGAGAGAATGTGAAAAAATAGGAAAGAGAAGATAAAAAGTAGAAAACGTTAGGGTAATTGAGTATTTTTAAGGGAAAAAATTACTAAAAAGAGAAAGTGTAGCTAAATTTTAAATACATCCCAAATAGGAAAGTGTAGAGAACTTTTAAATACGGAGTAGTAGTAGTAGTAGTAGTAGTAATAATAATAATAATAATAATATAATTATAATAATAATAATAATAATAATAATCCCTCTGTCCCGTAGAATTTAGAATTTACCCTAAATGGGACTAAATAGACTTCCTAATTTTAAAATAGGAGTTTTTGACTTTATTTCCCAAAATGGGACTTCGGTGGTCCTATTTAGTAAGTTTAGACTTTTTCATTCCTAAAATAACCCTCCTCTTCCCAGCGTATCTATTCTGTTTACCGAACTTAACGTAATCCCAAGCATAGTCATCGTCTTCTACTATGATGAATCTTCGAAGATCATGGCCTGGCCTAAACGCTTAGACGGAGCTGCAGAATATACCAAATCGATGCTGACAATGATTTCGAACCTCAGAGTTTCAATTTCGCCCATCCTTAGCTTGAAAATCGTTTGAATCGCACTTGTTCGCGATTATCTGTTCGGATTTAGCTTTTTACCAGGTATTCTCTTCTATTTTTGACTTTCGCTTATTTTTGCATATTCAGTTTCCTTGATTAACAGTTTGTTTATATAATTTCGAATTGTTCTGCGATGGTTCCATGTTCTAAGATTCATCACTTCCTTTTACAGTTTTGGCATATTAATTTTTCATGGCAACTGCTGCAATGGATCGTGTTTTGCTCATAATGGTCAAGTTGGATGGTGTATGGGGGCCTGATTTTGTCTTCATGAACAAGTCTACATTAGGTATCCATGTCCCATATTGTTCCACATACTCATCACTGTTAGACATCCTTAATGACAGTGTCACTCAAATCCAATCGAATCCACATTTTACCATTTCATACCTTGTTGAATCCTGCCCCCCACCTGTTCTTGTCAATGACAATGCTAGTTTGCGCTTTTATATTGATCTTAAGATCCTTCAATCAGATTTTGCAAAATATCCTTTGTGTCTACAATTTGACAAAGAGAAACCGCCTGTTTATGCACCTGTTTTACCAGTTTGTACTCCAAATAATTTGGTCACACCTGCATCTTGTTCTAGTGTTGATACGTTCAATGCAAATACTGGTTTCAACGTTGTCCATTCTCTAGATCAATACTTGCATCCTGAAGTCCATTCTCGTGTTCCTGAAAATAGTTTTGATAATGTTCTTTCATCCACACCTTCTTTCATCCACAATAATAGTTTTGATAATCATTCTAGTGTCCTGTTCAATGAAAATAACTTTGAAGAACACAGTTCATGTAGTGATGTACGTGCTGAATGTTTTGATGAGGACTCCCTTTCTTCTAGTGATGAATCTTTAGAAAATGAGTCCTCAGATGCCTTTGTCTTAAACCAGAACTGTGATGTCATTACACATTATTCTCCAATCACGCTTGTGCTCCATGGTATCTACGCGAACAAGCAAGATCTACTTTATCACCTTAGACTGTACGCGATCAATAATAACTTCCAATATTGGACAAAGACTTCAAAGAAGCATTCATTGCATGTAAAATGTTTGGACAAAGAGAATTGTAAATGGGTTGTTCGTGCTGTTAGACTCAAAGGTGTTCAACTTTTTCAGATTAGAAGGTATATTTCTTTCCCCATTCATGTTTTTTAGTTGTTTTGTATGTATTTTAATATTCCTATATTGTATGTTTTCTAGTTCAAAGTTGCATTGCTTTAGTGTACTGCCAGTTCACATATTGTATTTACATTCATGTATACTGTCTTTTACTTTGTACTTCCAACTGTTTTTGTATTACTTCCATCCTGTATGTGTACAGTCATCAATTGTTGCCATGCATGTACCTTGTTCTGTAATTTGTATATCCACCACTTTGTATTTATTCTTTTTTTTTCATACAGATTTGATGTTGATCACACTTGCTCAATAGACTTTAGGCAAGGTGTTCGTCATAGGCAGGCCAATTCTGCACTGATTGCTGAGCTTATAGCTCATCAATATATGGATGCTTCCAAAAAACCCTATACACCTAAACAAATCAGGGATGATTTGTTGTTGCAATATGGTATACCGGTGTCATATAAGAAGTCGTGGGCTGCAAAGAAGTCTGCCATGAGAAAACAGTTTGGTTCAGATTCAGAGCAATACCAATTGTTGCCATCGATGGTCCATATGCTTCGCCAAGCTAATCCAGGATCTGACGTCTTCCTCATTACAGGAGATAATGATGTGTTTTGCTATTTTTTCATGTCACTTTCACCATGGAAGAATGCATGGGAACATTGCATTCCCGTTCTTATTATTGACGGTTCTTTTATGAAATCCTACTACAAAGGGACGTTACTTACAGCCTGCAGTCAAGATGCAAACAAACAGATTGTGCCTTTAGCTTTTGCTGTATGTGATTCTGAGAGCACTGACTCCTGGAAGTGGTTCTTTATGAAGCTCAAAGAATGCCTTAGACATCGTGATGACATGTACATTGTGTCAGATAGACATAAAGGTATTATCAAAGCTGCAAAGGCCATCTTTCCACACGCTGCCCATGGATATTGTTGTGAACATCTCCGGCGTAACATGAGATCGAAATTTCGAGGTAAGTCATCCGACCATGGCTGGAAATTTAAAGCTGCATGGGAGGCTGCAACTGTTAATGAATGCTATGAGTATTTGTCCATGTTGGATGAAGAAGATGTTAGGATTCGTCCCTGGTTAGAGAAGATTGGAAAGGAAAAGTGGGCTCGAAGCATGGCAGTTCAGAGTCGATGGAGTGTTATGACCTCTAATTGTGCAGAGGCCATGAACAATGTAAATGCCAATGCAAGAGAGTATCCTGTTGCTAAGCTTTTGGATTTTCTCTGTGAAAGAATGCAAACATGGTTTACTGAGCGGCTGGAAGAAGCAACTTCATCAACTACTCATTTGACTCTGAAATTTGAGAAACATTTAGTTTCATTGCAGAGGGAAGCTTCCAGGATGAGGGTACGAATTCCTTAAATAAAACTTTAGGTTTCACTCCTTATTTTCTTGCTGGCACTTTAATACTGGCAAGTTATACTGACAAGTGTATCTAATGCATATGTCAGTATCTTTCACACATAAGTATTGTACTGTCAATTGTACTTTATCTTTCTGATGCAGTGATGTTGTGTTATATTTGTAATTCACATGTTTCTTTAACTTTGAACTTTCAGGTTAAACCATCTTGTCGTTACGAGTTTGAAATTGTTGACAGGCTTCGTAGATCTTTTATTGTCAATCTTATTGACCGAACATGTACTTGTCGTGTCTTCCAATTAGAGCACTTTGTTTGTGTACATGCTGTAGCTGCCATAGGTACACGTCCTGGTGTTTCTTGCTATGATTATATATCATATTATTACACACGACAGTCTCTTGTGAATACATACAGTGGCGTACAACATCCAATTGGTGATGTATCTTCTTGGATAGTTCCACATGATGTTAAAAGTACTTGTTGCAAGCCACCTTTATGTTCTAAGAGACAAGCTGGTCGACCAAAAACAAAAAGAATACCGTCAGTTGGTGAATTTCGTGCAACCAAACGGAAAAAATGTTCTCGATGCCATTTTGCTGGTCATAACAAAAAGAGCTGCAAGAATGCACTTACAATTAATTCCTAAGAAAACTGTTTCGTACTGTATTTGTTTTGGAGTTTGATGTTACTTTTGCTTACATTTGTATTTCCATGTGAACATTGAGATACATTTCTTAAACAATGTTGTGTTTCTTATAGTTTGAAATTATATTATATTGAATATATATAGTATTATTTCACTCATACTATCAAGATAGCTTTTGATTCTTTCTACTGTAATAGCATTATTTTATTTGCTATACTGCCATGATATGCAACTGTGTAAAAACTTACTGCCTTCGTAATGACAGTATGATGTAAATTTATACTGCCATCAAGTAGTGGCATTATTTGCAATATATGACATTACTCTTCGCTTCAGAATTTACTTTATTCGTTATGGTAGTATTCAAGATTTCCCTTAATAAGTAAATAAGTATTGCCTTCGTTTATAAATTAAACATGGCAGTATTTATTATTATTAATGACAAATAAATTAATGACATTATTGTTCATATCTGTCAGTATTTTCAAAACATGACAGTAAGAAGTGCCAATTTCAAGAAGTTCCTATTTAGAGCATTTTGTGTTAAACAAATAGCATTATCTACGTTACCAACATTACATCAACAATGTAAATGCAGTACAAATATGAACTACCAATTTTTAGATATTAATGAAATTCAATTAAAGTAGAAGTGCTAATTTCAAAATATTAACCAAATATGTAGTACAATTTAAGCAAAACACATAAGTTTCCATAGCCTTGTCTGGTAAAGATAAAACAAATTGTTTGAAATGGTGATAATATGATTACAAAGTCAATTGTTCAGTACTATATATAAGCAATTGTAGCTTCTTGCTTATTTCACTAAATCTTTCATCCTCCTTTCATTGTACATCATCAACTCAGTTGCCATTTTCTTCCTGTAGCTTGGCATGTCTTCAGCTTTGATTTCAGTTATGTCTCTCCCCATCATCAAGAATTCAGCAAACTTTAGCATGAACATTCCACAGTTGCCACTACATTACACATATTAGTGCATTAGAATAACAAATAGTGTTGTTTTATTTTAAACACTTGATAAATAATTGTGAAATTTGAATAACAGTTTGTTATCTTACCAGTCATTCTGCTGGGGGCAGTTTTCGACAGCTTCTATATGAAATTCTTTTTCACCCATACTTCCACCATCAATTGCTTCATACACACCATACTTATCCAGGATTTTTGGGAGTAGGCTTTTCAATGCTGGCAGAAATTCACTGATATCTCGCAGTGACTCACCTCTTCTGCATTTAGAGTTATACACTTTCATCATCTTGGCAGGTAAATCAAGAACCACTAAGACCCAATGGTTTCCATTGTTTACTGGCATGTAAACAAAATCTACTTCAGACCATCCGTTCGACAAATCTGCTCTAGTTCCTATTATTTCAGTCATTATAGCATCATCATCTGCAGCCCTGTCCAAAGTAATCTTTTTTGCTTGAATTAGATCATTCTCTCTTTTTAAGTGGGACACAAAGAAAGGGCTTGTTGTGGTGAACTTTTGAGGCAGATTGTACTGCTCAGCTTTCAATGTTAAATAATACATTCCCACTTCTATATGCTGTTTCATAAAAATATTTACACAGTTGTTAGAGTACATTTTAATAAATAAACATATTTCAATTAATTAATTGATCGATATGCCTTTGAATACTTCAAATAAAACATACCGTGTCGCGCAACCATTCAGGATTGGTAAACAGCTCATACAACCATGTCTTTGAATGGACAGTCATACAGTCCAGCAGGAATGGCTTTCCATGCATTTTTTCATCATTTTTCTTATATTGTACAGTGCCTGTACCGCGCTTTCTCGTTTTCAGCAATCCAACCTTTAAATAAGCTGCCACTTTAGCAACCTCATGGTTTTCTGGCATTTGCTTTGGATCTTCAGAAAATGGACCTGCGCGGTCTTCTGTTACCGGAAGCGAATTGTTCTCCACCTTCTTCTTTGCCTTTTCAAGCTTTCTTCTTTTCTTCTGCACTCTTTTCTCTGATGGTGTGTACCGATCCGGTGACCTAGGATTCCTTTTTGATTTTTTTACAGCTGCAGCATGAGCTGTCATAATCACAGCTAGAGGTTGTGGTTCTGTGTAAACTTGGATACTTTTACACTGCATGAAAATTTGTCAGTACACTTTGAATTTTATATATAATGACTGCCAAAAGATTATAAATATGCTGATTATTTACTGACATGTTGTGTCAAGTTATATAGTTTTGGCATTAAGTATAAAGTACAGACTATTAATGTCAATATAGTATACATACGCATATAAAATATTATTGCCATTCTATTTCAGTACGAAGAATATTTGACAATAGTCATCACCTACTACGAGTTACTGCCAACTTGATACATACTCATTTTCTATACTGTCATGTTTGACAGTACATCAGATATTTGGCAATACGAAATAAGTACATGACATTACTGTCAAAAACCTGTTTTATAGATATACCTGATTTGTAGCACTGGCTTCTTCATTCTTTGAATTTGTGTCTAGTTTCTTTTCAACCTCTTCCATTTTCTGCAATATATTCAGATATTAATAAAAATGAAATGATATGAATATGTATTGAACAAGTTTTGAATTTCATACCATTGTGGATTCCTCAATGGTTTTTTCTGTAGACTTTTCTTTGCTCTTTTGAATGTTGTTAACCAGCTCATCCACTTTGAGCAGCTCATCCTCATCATAATCGGTGTCATCGTCATTCAATTTCTGCCAACTCTGTTCTCCAGTACCATTGCCATCATGCTGCACCTTATCATTTGTTTCGTGAACTGTCTCTTTAATAGTCCTGTCACAGGCATCATTCAAGTCTTCAAATCCTTCCTCATCAGTGGTTTTTCCATGCTAATCTTCCTGTGAAGAGAAACCAAACATATTGAAGGACGGTCTTTGAGAATCCTTCTCAGTCTCAGATACTTCAGAATTCTCTTTATCACCATCTTGCTCTGTCACTGTTTCCATTTCATGAGACCTTTGATTTTCATCATTCTGCAACACTTCCTCAGCGTCATTCACTTTCTCTGCATCCATCTCTCCAATTGCATCCTTCTCAGTGGCATTTTCTTTGATTTCAATGGTCTCACCTTCATCAGATTTGTCTTTTTCATTTGTTGCATCAGGAAGTACCACTTCATCTTTTTCAAAGAGGCATTGTTTTCCCCCCTGGCTTACTTCCTTACCTTCATCTGTCATCATGTCTTTATCTTCCAACCTTGTCAGTATTCTTCTCAATAATGACCCATGTTTTCTCTGTAGATTCTTAATCCTTTCCATATCTGCCATCATGGTGTCAGTCTTCCTAATAAGGCTTGTCAGTAATGATTCATCTTCATCATCATCTTTCTTCCCCCTAGTGCACTCCTTTTTCAGTTTCTTTGATCCAGAAGTCACTTTTTTAAGAGCAACACCCTTTTGAGATCTTGATTTCTTCTTTTTATCCACCTTTGCACTTCCCGTTTCAGCCTGCTTCTCATTGCAATCAGCATCTTTGTCATGATCTTCCATTTCTATCTCTTCAGTGCAGTCAATTCCACCATCAAACTGCCAACGTTCTCTGTTGAAGTTCTGAAACAGTAATGCGATCTCTGGTATTGCCATCTCTTGAGTTGTTGGTTCCATGGGTTTATACTCAAACTGCAAAAAAGAACACATGATATCAATATATCAATATACAAATAAAGAGAATGAATTATGTATATTTAAATATTTCAATTTATACCTCATTATTATAAAATATCAACTTGCACAGTAGATTCAGACTTGGTTTTTTTAGTAAAAACCCATTTGAGTGAGCGAGGAATAACGTTATCTTGATCTTCTTTCAACGTGCAGATCCCAGCTTTACTCAGTCCCGGCAGTGTTTCAAATGCCCATATTTGTAGAGCAAACATAAATCCAGGAAAAGTTACACGGTCAGAGTTAGTCATTGACAGTAGCTCAGCACTTTTGCCTGCATAGTTTACCAAATCATCCCATATATCTCTTCCCCATGCATAGCTGTTAAATGCTTCCATATCATCCAGCAGATTGACATAGTAAGAAGGCAGTCCTAATCTATTTTGGTTGCCAAATAGTCCATGCCCTAGCAGATACAACAGACCTAATTTAACACCATCATGCTCCACAGTCCCCTCATTGTTGCTGTTGTATTGAGTAAAAACATCTGTGATGTTTTTTCTAGACACATAACTCCTCCCATTGAAATACCTCTTCCACAAATCCCCCTGCACATCATCTTTTATTTTTTTCTTAAGCCCATCCATCCTAAAAGATGTCACCAGAGCAAAATCTTCTTTGGTAAATGATATCAAACTATTTCTAATGTTGAAAGTGATTTTCTCAGTCTCTACCATATTATTCACTTCTTCAACATGGTTTCCTATGAGCCCCAACAACAATTGTCCACTTATCCAAGATATGGAATCCATATCCAATATCCATCCAAACACAGTCCCCCTAAATTCAGCAATTTCTTCTGTATTCAAGTACATTTTAATTGCCTTAACCACTTCTGAGAGATTACAATAACAATTTACCCTTAATTTGTTCATCTTTGCCAAAATATCCTTTTGACAGGATCTTCTTATTGCCTACAAACATTAGATTTCAACAATTAAGTAATATTAACAACAATATGTTGTACATTCAGCATTGCAAGTGAATTAAATGACAGTACATTGATTGATTTCTAAACAACACTAAGAAATTATCAATAAACAGAGCATTATGGAAATAAATCTACGAACAACTAATGAAATTTGGAAATATTTGAACTGTCTTCACTCGTACATACTATAAAGGAATTTAATCATTATTACATATGTTTCATAAGTAAAATAATACACATCGAAGTTAATAAACAGTATCGCACTTGATCTCAATAAATAAATAAAAACTCTATAGCACTTCTTCTGTGCACAATAATGAACATGCAAATAAAATGCATTGAAGTATCCAAAAATTAGGCTTAAAACTTCCATTATTACACCTTTCATCGCACATTTCAACCTAATTTTTTCGTAAAAAGCAAACGAGAAATACACACCAGTTTCGTGGCCATGGCCTTTCTTTGTTCTGTAGTTGTCGAGTTCGTTTCGTCCA